CTGGAATCAGCCGCTGATCAGTTTCAGCAGCGGCTGAATCTGGACGCCAGTTCCGACTTACATACAGATTCAACTTAAGAACAAACCTACAGTCCCTATCTTGTACGTAACCCGGGGACTGCCTGTATACATCAATCATAATAAAGTTTCAGATGGAGTAAAAGAAACATTTTTGTTTGTGGTTGGTACAGCCTTGTTTATGTCTTGTGGAAGGTGGACATATTTTTGACTCTGCCTAGGAGTTGTGCAATTATTCAGATACTTTTTAAACAATTAAGTTTTATTCTGATGAAAATTACTGGATTAACCACCATGAAGACTGAAGTCTACTGTTTATATATGGTACAGGTGTGTATAGCAGAAGTGAAAGCTGTTAGAGGAAGGGGCTACTCTTAAGCTTAAAAGATCAGTACCCATACCCAACCAGTTGTCGATCTTTTTGTTAATATATATTATGCCTATACATACCTTTTATACGGCACTGTTCCTCCAGAGTTCTCAACATACTATACAAATGGATGTTTATCATCATTTCTGTCTTTCAGAAGCATATAACGAAGTCCAGAGAGGTAAAATGACTTGAGTCACACAGTAGGTCAGCAACAGCTTCCGCTGAGAGCCAAGGTCTCTTGACTCCCAGCCTAGTTGAGCTATCTATTCCATTGATATCACTGCCTCATGCAGGTAGCCTAGAAAGGCGTTTCCCATGGTGGATTTATGTGATATAGATAGCCCAGTCTAATTCCTAGCAAAGATTTATGACTGGAGCAAAAGGAGAACACCATTCTCTTATATTAGCTATTTTTTCCTCCCCTTTTTTGATTGCTCACAGGTTAATACTTTATACATCAGGTTTTAGCCTGGAGCTGAGGTTTATGGCACAATTATAAACCATGGAAATGAGGAGTTTATAATGGAAAAAACTGAAATCCTAAAAACACTATTTGAAGTGAAGTGACCTATTATCACTTTATATTTCTAGAGTGATAACATAATAATGAAAGAAATGCAAAGTTTGTGTTGAACACAGCTTTAATAGGCCAGATCAAAAAATGCATTTGATTAACTGGAAGCCTTTAATGAGCTTTGACTCCTGCCCCAACTGACTAGTGCATCCAGGACAGACACAGCCTTTCATTCTTTAATTGGTGGATTTCAGTTTTTAAAATTTGCCTATCCTTCTTTGGGCATATGTACAATAATGTAACATTAGAGCAACATAGCACACCAAAGACTAAGAAATATAATAGCCCCCTCCCCACAATCACATGTAATCCTTCAGAAAACTGTCCCAACCATTCACCCAACTATTCATCCTTTCCCTTTTTCCTCCCTGAAAAAAAAACTGGAAGTGCAAATGAGTATTGCAACCAGTGTTCCCTCTAATCTGCGTGGCAGCACAGCTTCACAGGTGATTAAGTAGCCTGCCTAGTCAGTCAGCTCCGTGCATGGAGCCCTGAGCCTCTGATTGGGTGGAGCTGATTAATGACCTGTGAAGCTGTGTTGCCACGCAACTTAGAGGAAACACTGATTGCAGCAGGAACAGAAGGTCAGCAAATTCAAGCTGTGACAAGCCAAAGCTGGCAGCAGATTCTTCAGTTCTATGACTTATGAATGTAAAGACCTTGCCAACAGCACCCAATTAATAAAGGATATATTAGCTTGAACACCTTATATTATCTGCTTTATTGATATTGCATGGCAGACAGACAGTATATTAGTGATAGAGATGTAGCCGTGTTAGTCTGGTGTAGCTGAAACAAAATACAGGACTATGTAGCACTTTAAAGACTAACAAGATGGTTTATTAGATGATGAGCTTTCGTGGGCCAGACCCACTTCCTCAGACCAAATAGTGGAAGAAAATAGTCACAGCCATATATACCAAAGGATACAATTAAAAAAAATGAACACACATGAAAAGGACAAATCACATTACAGAACAGAAGGGGGATGTAGGGGTGGGGGGAAAGGAGGTGAATGCAAGTGAGTTAATGATATTAGAGGTGGTTGTGACTATTTTCTTCCATTATTTGATCTGAGGAAGTGGGTCTGGCCCACGAAAGCTCATCATCTAATAAACCATCTTGTTAGTCTTTAAAGTGCTACATAGTCCTGTATTTTGTTTCAGACAGTATATTAGGTATCCTGGACACAGCTTATTTAAGGTTTTTTATATCTCAGTAAATAAATTGAAAACAAACAAACCGGGTGCCAGTGGAGCTCACAAAACATAAAGTACTGTGCTTTAGTGAGAAACAACCTGAACAATTAGCTGCTGAAGTAGCTGTATAGTTTGGTCTTGTGTGGAGAGTCAGGGCTGCATTATGACTTTCGTGGGCCCTAGGCACTTTTGCTTTCATGGGCCCCTCCCACCATAATAATATCAATATTAAAAATTATTTTTGATATAACTTTAAATACTTCAACATTTTTTTTTTCTGTTTTAGGCAAAATTTAATAGATTTTCGTGGGCCCTAAAAGTTTCATTTTTTTCTGATGTGAGAAAAAAATTAAAACATTTTCTTCGACCCTAAAAGTTCCTTTTTTTCCTCCTGATTTTAAATGAAATTAAAACATTTTCATGGGCCCCTAAAAGTATCGTGGGCCCTAGTCATTGTGCCTACTGTGCCTAATGGATAAGTCGGCCCTGTGGAGAGTATTGTAACAATCCAATCTCACGGGAAAAGGTCTGGCTTAATGCAGCAGGATTTCTGCATTTGAAAGAAGAGGATGGAACTTCCTGATCAAACATAAATACAGGTTGAACCTCTCTAGTCCAGAACACTCTGGTCCAGAAACATCCTTCATCTAAAATGATTTTAGTTAGCTGGATGTTCCCTTTTCCTGGATGTGGCCAAGTTTCCCACAGTGCCATAAACTTTGTTTACAGCCACCAGTCCTGGCTCTCAATGTTCTGTGCTACTATTTAGCTCTAATGTACCCCTAAATGTCCTCTAACAACCCAGTAAGCATTGAAAATGTTGGTAATGCTGCTAGACAATATTGACCTCCCGTGGTCTAGAAAATGTGTTTGTAACCGGTCAGGACCAAAGGCTGCCGGACTAGAGAGGTTTAACTTGTATTAAAGCACTATGGTGTAATGCCACTGCCTGACCACTGCAAAGCTACCTCAAGTCTAGGCAGACTGCAGGGTTGTGAAGGAAGTTACAAAAGTCAGGCAAATTCCATTACAGGAAGGTTTGACAGTTCCTCTGCCAGTTCTCCTAGCAAGTGCACTCCAGTCCACCAACATAACCTCAGTCTCATCCACGGTAAATCTGAACCGATTCACCCTCAAACTTTTGTATTATCATTTGCTAAATATGCTTTGTGCTACTTACCTCTGTCTGCATCTTTGAGATCTAACTATATTATCTCCACTTCTAAAAAATGTGATATTAGTCATTGCATATTAATACAGATATAATTTAGACATGCCAATAAAATAACTTACCAGATGGTTTATCAGTTGAAGATGGACTATTAGTAACTGATGGCATGGTAGGTAGATTAGGTGGTAGAACCTTTAAATTCTGATCACTCTGAATTTCATTGGTAGCTATTTGGTTAATAATGCGATTGTAAGTAGGAGGTTGATACATTCTGTTTGGTGGTTGGGGAGGTTGGGGTATTGGCTTAATGGATGGCGTTCTTTGACAATGTTCTTCTAGCTGTGCAATAATTATTGACTGGTTATTGGCAATTGACACCAAATGTTGATATTTGTACTCTAGATCCTTGTATTTGTTTGCAAGCTGCAACATATCAGCAGTTTGGTTCAATATCTTATTTTCAAGCTGGGAAAGTTCTAATGCATTGTCCCGTTTTCGAATAATTTCATGCAGCAGTTGCATATAAAGTTGCGTGACACGAGAGTTCATATTCCGACTTTCTTTTCGTAAAAGTTTAACCTCATTAACAATCCCACCATCCACCTCCACCAGTTGCTGCAGAGTTTCTATTTGTCTCTTTTGCTTTAAAAGTTCATTGTTAAGCAGCTCTAATTCTTGCTTATTTACCCGGTTTTCAAGAACCACTTCAGGCTCCTTTGAATTAACACAAATGGCACCTGTCACTTTCTGCTGCGGTACAATAAAGGTATAAGTGCACTTGTCTTGTGTGTCACTGGACCGCTTGTATCTGTTCATATAAATGAATTCTTGCTCTGTGCCCTCATCACTGCTTTCAAATTCCTTCGTCTTGCTAGCAGTCATTCCCATGATGGCAATTAGTAGTAAACAAATTAATCTTGCTGCCTTCATCATTCTTTATTTTTGGATAATTTTTCTTCTGCAAGAGAACTTTTAAAATCTGCTTTAAAATAAAAGAATTGTTAAGTAATAAATAGATAATAAATTAATGTAAGAAAATTAACAACTGATATAGTCATTGGTAAATCTTAAAAATCTTGAAAATACACATAATTTCATATCAATGGGAAAGTTTTCATGTCTGGTTACAGTTTCTACCAGATAAAAATTAAAAAAGATAGAGCTGCTACTTGAGCTTCATGGAGATAAGTTATACCTTACTAATATCCTGTAACCAGATCCTTTGTTATTAAATGTAAAACCAATCACTTCAAGGAACTGAATTAGTAAAAATAAGTCCATATTTCCAGATAGCGCCATCAGTTTTAATTTTACAACACAGAATACAAAGTGTACTGAGCTCACTTTATTATTTGTCCTCTAAGAAGATGGAATAAAAGAAATACTGTTTTTCTTTTCACCTCATACCGGTACTATAGTTCAATTTCTTTATTGTAAAAGTGCAAGTTATAAATGTAATATTATATTTCTGAACTAAAAAATAAAACTATGTAAAACTTTAGAGCCTATAAGTCCACTCAGTCCTACTTGTTATTCAGCCAATCGTTAAGAAAAACAAGATTGTTTTCTTTTACAAAAGATAATGCTGCCTGCTTCTAATGCCACCTGAAAGTGAGAACAGGCATTTGCATGACACTGTTGTAGCAACTATTGCAAGGTATTTATGTTCTGGGCATGCTAACCATTTCTATGTCCCTGGATGCTTTGACTTATAGACTTTAAAGTAATAATCTGTTTCCTTGTGCCAATACAGAAAATTGTGTAACAACACTAACATTTTCTTATGAAGAGAGCTGATAAGCCTAGGCTTATATAGGGTATATCAGTGCAGTCATATATTCCTAAGCAGCATTGCAAGCACTATTCTGTTTATTTGCCTTGGCGAAATAAAAAAGACACCCACTCACTACAATTTGTATACCCAGCATGTTAATAAATCAGTAACTTTGACCTCCAAAACATTTTATATGTTAAAATCATTCAGTTTCAGCAAAGAGAGTGTCTATTTCACAGTGATTTCTGCTGCTTTTTTAACTATAGTATTTAATGTGACTATTTCCAGGAGAATCCCATTTCCTTTGTCTTTTTCCTTGCAGTAGTCCAAGTTACTTCCTTAATGGCTGTGCCTGAAGATTAGCTACTAGTGGTTTTTTTTTTTTTACTTTTGCACTAGCAATGTCATTTCTGAGATATTTAAACTGACTTTAATCCCTCAGAGCATCATGGTATTTAAAGCAAATCTCCATGGCACTTTTCTTATTAGAACACAGTGGCCACAACAGCTAAGGGTTTGTAAAAATCACTATTTTAGTCAATATCAATTCAGCATTGGGGCCACAAGCATTAATCAGCTTTTCTGAAGCTGTTCTATTTTCAGCTACGCAACTAACTCCTAGACATTACATATGTCTAAGAGCTTCCTTTATTGCTAAATACTGCATAAAATATTCTTTCTTTTCTAAGTCTTCTTGGTTCTCTTCACAATAGTAAAGGAAGAACTCTGTGATTCATCTTTGAAAAATCATGGAAGTTGGGAGAGATTCCAGAAGACTGGAAAAAGGCAAATATAGTGCTCATCTATAAAAAAGAGAAATAAGAACAACCCAGGAAACTTCAGACCAGTCAGTTTAACTTCTGTGTCAGGAAGGATGATGGAGCAGGTAATTAAGGAATTAATCTGCAAACATCTGGAAGAAAATAAGGTGATAGGTAATAGCTAGCGTGGATTTGTAAAGAATAAATTACCGTATGTCAAACCAATCCGATAGCTTTCTTTGATAGGATATCAAGCCTTGTGGATAAGGGAGAAGTGGTGGATGTGAGAGACCTAGATTTTAATAAAGCATTTGACACTGTCTCGCATGACCTTCTTGTCAATAAACTAGGGAAATGCAACTTAACTGGGGCTAGTATAAGGTGGGTGAATAACTGGCTGGATAACCATTCTCAGAGAGTAGTTATTAATGGTTCACAGTCATGCTGGAAGGGCATAACAAGTGGGGTTCCACAGGAGTCTGTTTTAAGGCTGGTTCTGTTCAATATCTTCATCAGTGATTTAGATGATGGCATAAAGAGTATGATTATTAAGTTTCCAGATGATACCAAGCTGGGAGAGGTTGCAAGTGCTTGGGAGGATAAGGTCAAAATTAAAAATTGTTCTTCTTGGCCTCTGAGGATAGGACAAGAAGCAATGAGCTTAAATTGCAGCAAGAGAGGTTTAAGTCAGGCATTAAGAAAAACTTTCTCGTTGTCAGTAAGTTGCTTAGGGATATTGTGGAATCTCCATCTCTGGAGATATTTGAGCAGGTTAGACAGGGATACTCAACTTTAGAAGCCCTGGGGACCACAATCATACTCAGCACATGCCAAAGGACACAACTTATGTGTGGTTGCATATACATGCAAATATATATAACAAAAATATAGCTATCGTACATAGCTGCAGCGGCACAGGAGCCAGCAAACAGAGCTGTAAACAGGGGAGTTTGAGTGGGAGTTTGTAAGGGGAGTCTGGATATTGGGACTTGTTTGGGTTTTGTTTTTGCTGTGGAGGGGATGTTTTGGTTTGTTTTTGTGTTCACCGGACTAATAGGACTTTGGTGAGAAAGTAGATAAACCACAGAGGCAGCAGTGGCCATGGCCCAAGTAGTAGAGAGCACAAGGAGGATGATTGGATGTGGTAGCCGCGGTATGTACATGATTCTGGAAGGGGTACCCGAAAGGAGTTTTGTTTGCGTGAAGTGCCGCCTGATAGAGCTTATGGAAGAAAAGATCCGAGGACTGGAGATGCAGGTGGAAACTCTGGTCGAGTTTAGAAGGGAGTTTGAGCAGATGATGGAGCAAAGGCATGACGTGGCTGAAGGGGAAAGCTTAGATATGCAGATGGAAGCAGGATCAAGGGCCTCAGAGGGGGGACTGCTGGGCGAAGAAAATGGACAGTGGAAGCATGTGACTAAGAGAACCAGGCAGAGGAAAAGATGGGTCAGTGAAGGAAAAAGAGAGCTCAAGAACAGGTATGTGGAGCTGGAGAATGAAGAAGGGGTACAGCAGGTAGATAATGAAGATAGAAGGGTAAGGAAGAAGAGAAGAGTGGCTAGTCCCATAGATAAAGGGGAAGAGTTAATGGAGACAACACCAATAACACTGCTCTACAGCCAAAATGCTTCTGAAATAAATGCAGTCAAACTTTACTAATTCTGGGTCACTGAGAACGAAAATGATGCTTAAAATTGTTGATTGGCTCTAGTTTTTAAGATATGCTATTGGGTCAGTATATACGGCCCTTGACTTGCGAATGGCGGAGGATAAGTGAGTTATAAAGGGAAGGGATCTCAATTTAAACCAGAAATGACTAAAATACATCTTTAACTGGATATATGAATAAATCTATGACTGAGTTTGGACCGTACTTGCTTTTTAGGCAAAACAATGAATAATGCAATCTGAAGCTGGTATTACGTCATACATGATATGAATTGCATCATGTTATTCCTAGAAATCATGGATGTTTTGCTGCATAATGGCAATGTTTTTTCCAGTTGGTCATGCAGTCCATATGAAGAAAACCTATGACAACATGAAACAACTTTTGAGGTGCATAAACTATAACCAACATCAGTGGCAGCTTTGAGGCGATTTGAAGGTGTTGCTCTCTTGCTTGGTCTGCAGACTGGATACACAAAGTACTGCTGTTTTCTCTGCGAATGGGATAGTCATGCAAGAGATTCCTACTACATCAAGATAGATTGGCCACTCCGACAGTCATTGGAGCCTGGGAGGAAAAGTGTTCAGCATCCACCACTTGTTGAATCAAGGAAGATTTTGTTACCACCCTTACACATCAAGCTGGGTCTGATGAAGAACTTTGTCAAGGCCATGGACAAAACACAAGCAGCTTTCAAGTACCTCTGTGGAAAATTTCCAAGGTTAAGTGAAGCTAAGATAAAGGAAGGTATCTTTGTTGGTCCTCAGATTCGTGAACTTCTTCGAGATGATGCATTTGACCATGCACTGCATGGCAAGGAAAAGACGGCATGGAAAGCCTTCCTGTTAGTGGCAATAAACTTTCTCAGAAACAAGGCAGACAACTACAGGTTGTTGGTGGAAAACCTCCTCAAGGCATACAAAAGCCTTGGTTGCAACATGTCACTAAAGATACATTTTTTGCACTTTCATCTAGATTTTTTTCCACCAAACTGCGGAGCAGTGAGCGACGAGCACGGCGAGCGATTTCACCAGCACATTGCAACAATGGAGAAACGCTGTCAGGGCAAATGGAGCCCATCAATGCTTGCAGACTATTGCTAGATTACTCTAGGAGAGGGTGGGTGAGATTCTGTGGCCTGCACTGTGCAGGGGGTCAGACTAGATGATCATAATGGTCCCTTCTGACCTTAAAGTCTTTGAGTCTATATGCAAATAGCTTCTTTCACACTGATGGGCATGAATACAAAGATTAAGACAAGACTACACAACACACAGGCCTCATTTAAGTCAGTTCTGCTAATATTAATAAAATTCAATATTTACCTGATTTCTACCCACCTGTCAGCACTTTTAATAGGCAATGACAGTCCAGGAATTTCAACCCAATATCAACTCAAACCGCACTGCTGGCCGCAAACAAACAGGCCATGGGCTGTATGTTGAGTAGCCCTGATCTAGACAGTGCTTGGTGCTGCCGTAAAGGCAGGGGACTGGACTTGATGACCTCTCAAGGTCCCTTCCAGTTCTAGGATGCTATGATCCTATATAGCAGAGCTATTCAATATGCGGCCCACGGGCTGCATGTGGCCCGCAGCCTGTTTGTTTGCGGCCTGTGGTGCGGTTTGGGTTTACGCGGGGCTCAACGTGTGACCCACAAGTGGGATCCTTTGAACATGGCCTCCACAGGGAACACACTCCACAACGCCAGTCAACATAATGGTCTTCTGTTGATATGCGTTTTAGTAGTTAAATTCCTGGACTGTCATTGCTCATTAA